AGTTAATAATGTTATATTTCTTAATTAATTTATTATTTGTTGCAACATAATAGAATAATTATGGTTACCATCTTTAGTAATAGCATAATTAGTATCTAATTCTGGGTTTGTCAGTTGATAATTAATTTTCTCTTTAAGCCCATACATTCTTATCATCAAACTGAATCTTTCAGCCATATCTCTCATATCCCGTTCCAATTTTACAATTGACTTTTGATAATATTCATCTTTAATCTTGTCTTCGTAATATCTTCAAGATTCGCATAAGTTAATCATAAATACTGTACTAAATTGACTAGTATTACCCAAAGATCATTAAGTTCTTTTTCTAGCCCTATGTTAAGCACTAAATCCCGCTTTATCTTAATTTTTGGATTAAGTTTGCTCAATGCATCTTTACTAATATTTGTCGACTGTATGCTAAGAAATTTCAAACTAGAACAATGTTGTGCAATTTCATCAATGACTATATCAGTAACTAGATGGCAACATCTGATATCAAGATATCTTAAATTTTTACACAAATGTACAATATTACAGATAGTTGTGTCAGAAGTATCAGAAGCACCAATATCAAGATGTTTGAGCTTCGGACAAGAGTTAGCAATATTACAAATAGATGAATCAGTAATAAATCTACACTGATTAAGTTCAAGGTATTCTAAATTATAAATATGTTGTAACAATCTATTAACTGAAACGTCTGTAATATTATGACAATCTTTTAAAAAGAGATGGTGAAGATTAGGACATGAGTGAGTTATTGCAACTATCGTCTGATCAGAAATTGGCTTATAATGTTTTAATCTACCAATGCATAAAAGTTCTAATTTAGAACATGCTTCTACTATTTTATAAACGAAATCATCAGTGATATTTCTACAAAAACCAATATCAAGGTGGCGTATTTTTTGGCACAATTTTGCAATTTTATATATGAAGTGGCCAGTTATATCTTGGTTATCACAGATATTGAGAGATTCTAAGATCGAGCAATTTTTATAAGTGATGCATCAGTAAAACTTTCACTTTGTTCAAAATTTAAACTGGTTATATTTGGGTATGAGTGTAAAATACAGAAAATTTTATTATCTGAGAGTCTAGAATAATGCGTAATTTTGAGACTTCTTAGGCTTGAAGTATAAGATGTTTTCTGTT